GGCGTGTTATAGGCGTGTTACAGGCGTGTCTGAGGCGTGTTACAGGTGTGTTACAGGCGTGTTACAGGTCTGTTACAGGCGTATCTGAGTCGTGTTACAGGCGTGTTATAGGCGTGTTACAGGCGTGTCTGAGGCGTGTTACAGGTTTGTTACGGATGTGTTACAGGCGTGTTACAGGCGTGTTACAGGTCTGTTACAGATGTGTTACAGGCGTGTTACAGGTGTGTTACAGGTGTGTTACAGGCGTGTTACAGGTCTGTTACAGGCGTGTCTGAGGCGTGTTACAGGTGTGTCTGAGGCATATCTGAGGCGTGTTACAGGTCTGTTACAGGCGTATCTGAGGCGTGTTACATGCGTGTCCGAGGCGTGTCCTGACCTCCGTGGGACAGCACCTGCAGGTAGGGCTCCAGCACGCTCATGTTGACGTGGTACTCCTGTCCGGAGACGCAGAACCTCCTCCAGCGGCGCCCCCTGCTGTCCACCTGGTCCAGCTCCAGCTGCCCCTCCCAGGGCTCCGCGGGGCTGCCCACGCCGCCCGAGGCCCCGCCCCCCCCCATCCCCGGGAGGTCGTCTGTCACAGAGGTCAGAGGTCAGCGCGGTCAGGCGCCGGCGTCCGGGTGTAGTGGATTAATATTCCACAGTGAATATATTATCACAAAAGATTAGTAGTAAGTGCATTATTATATATATATATCTAAAAGAAAAGTAGAAGTAACATGTAGCTGGGATATATATATATATATATAAATATATAAAAGGAAGAAACCATGGTTCAGAGGCTACAACATAATAAAGGCTATGTGAATGCATAAGAAATAAAGGGCCAAAGCACAGGCCAGGTGTGAGGCATGGAGGGAACAGGCAGCTGAGGCCCCACCAGTGCCGCTACTGAGAGACTAACGGAATGCTCAGGGAGGAGCTCCGATAGAGGAGGGGCTCAGGGTGGAGCTCTGATAGAGGAGGGGCTCAGGGTGGAGCTCTGATAGAGGAGGTGGAGCCAGGGTGGAGCCCCAAGAATCGAAAGGTTTATAAGCAGACGTTTGTCCCAAGAAAGTTAGTTGTTAGCCTGGCTAACAGCTCACGTGGTTGGATTGTATTTGCTGCAATAAACCACTTTGGACCTGGACCCAGCTGCCTCTGCTTCTTCTTCAGGACTTAGAATAATTATTCAACTGCTCCTTCAGGACTTAGAATAATTCTTCAACTGCTCCCTCAAGAACTTAGTATTTTTGCAAGACTTAGAATAATTCGACACGTCGTTGAGAGGATATCCGCGACACGGGCGCTGGCGGCCGCTCACCGTCCCACTCCAGCTCCTGCAGGCCGTCGGGCAGCGCGCCCGACTCGCTGCCCGAGGGCGTGTCCAGCGCCTCCAGGTTGATGTCCAGCGAGGCCCCGTCGCTTGGGGGGTCGCGCTGGCTCAGGCTGAGGCTGAGGGCGGGGGCCACCAGCCGCTTCTTAGCTCCGCCCCCTGATAGGGCGAGGCTGGTGGGCGGGGCTGAGGAGGGTTAGCGTTAGCGTTAGCGTTAAGATTGTATTTTTCAGTTTTATCATTTCTGTCCTATATTTTCATTTCTACATTTTATTTATGTTTCTGTTTGTGTTTGTGCATTTGTCAGACGCTTTTCTCCAAAGCGACTTACAGAGTAGAGCCAATATTCCATTTCTCATCACTATGACAATAAGCTATCCAGAGGAGAAACCCTGATCAGAGTCAGTGGAGAGAT